CTGTTAAAAAATGAATTTTATTAAAATATATTCAATTTCAATTTTCCCCGATAAATTATTAAAATAAATAAATAAACTAGAACTGTCCAAAAGGGACAAAACAACCCCCGCTGGGCTTTTCAGAGGTGCTAAATCATGAATATTTTGTGGATCTAAGAGAAGAGAGAAATGCTAAAACATTTTTAGTGCAAATTTAATTGCTCATTATATTTTATATAAATGAAACGAAGGTGAAGCCTAATAAAAAAAAATATACTAAGTATACGGACCAGACACGAATTATGAACTTTTTCTGTCAGTGACCTTGAACTTGCTTAAATGACCTTGTTCAAAGTCATGACACACCCTCAGGTCATAAGCAATCTTTGTGTAAACGAGGAAACATCCAAGTTTATCCATAGGAAAGATATGCACCAGGCACAAATTATGAAGTTTTTCCTTTCAGTGACCTTAAACTTGCACAAATGACCTTGGGTCAAGGTCATGACACACCCTCAAGACATAAGCAATCTTTGTGTAAAATAGGGACTTACCAAGTTTTTCTTAAGATAGATATGTACAAAACATGAATTGTGAACTTTTTCTTTCAATGACCTTGAACTTGCACAGGTAACCTTGCATCAAGGTCATGACACACCCTTAGGTCATAAGGATTCTTTGTGTGAAATAGGAACTTACCAAGTTTATCCATAAGCAAGATATGGACCATGCACATATTATGAAATGTTTCTTTTAGTGACCTTGAACTTAAATGACCTTGGCTCAAGGTCATAACACACCCTCAGGTCATAAACCATCTTTGTGTGAAGTAGTAGTTTAAAGTTTTTCCATAATAAAGATATGTACCAAACATGAATTACCCTAGGTATACAATTTTTCTTTCAGTGACCTTGAACTTACACAGATGACCTTGGGTCAAGGTCATGGCACACTCTTAGGTCATGAGGAATCTTTGTGTGAAATAGGAATTTACCAAGATTATCCATAAAAAAGATATGGACCGGACACGAATTATGAAATTTTTCTTCCAGTGACCTTGAACTTCCCCAAATGACCTTGGGTCAAAGTCATGATACACCCTTAGGTCATGAGCAATCTTTGTGTGGAGTAGTAGATTCTAACTTTTCTCCGTAAGAAAGATATGGACCGGACACGTTTGCACAGCTGTCTGTCTAGCTGTCCAGCTAGACGGACGGACAAGCTGATTCCTATATACCCCCCAAACTTTGTTTGCGGGGGGTATAATAGATAAATATAAATCATAAAATTATGAATTCAAAATATCTCAAAAAGGTAAACATGTTGGCTATTCAAACATGCACTTAAAAAACTGGTCAAACTATTTTTAAAAAATCTATACTTTACAAATCTGAAATGATGATATATAACATGAACCCCTGGAAATTACAAAGGTGGGATCAGGTACCTAGGAGGAGTAAGCTTCCCCTTTTAGCTGGTAAACTTTCAATGAGATTAATGTATTAATCAGAAAAATTCACTAGGAAAACAAATGCCTAGAACAATTGGAATGAAACAAGTCAGCCAAAATAGGACCAAATGATAGCTGTATGAGGTTATATTTGCTGACAAAGTCATTTTAACAACTGTAACAGGAGAGAAAAAAGGAGGGAACCAGACCAGGATTCAAACCCAGGCCCCCTGAATCTCCAGTCAGGTGCTCTACCGACTGAGCTATCTGGCCACTGGCAATTGAATCCGGCTGAGCCCCACACATCCATGGAATTTATGACAGAATGCTGACTTTGAATGAGGTTGTTTTCATCACTATAACATCAAGTTATTTGGTAGTAGCCTACCTCATTTTTGAATTGAATCATTTAAGTTTTTGAAGCATGCTCCTGAGTATTGAATATAAGTTTGGAGATAAAAACACCAAAGGCATTTCAGGCACATGCAACAATTATATTACACATTAAATGGACTTAAAAAACAAAACAAACCAACTCTTAACATTGACTTGCTTCTTCCCCTGTTTGGTTCTGTCCATCAAGCTTCTCTGCAGCAAGGGGCATTCTCAGTTAAATTTATGTCTTAATTCTCTAAGTTCCTATAAAAGCCTTAAGGTACATGTAGACTTCTACTGAATTGAGTTCAAAAGAAGAGTCATGTCACAAATTCAAATACATGGTATGAAATGGTTTCAAAGTCTCATAATACTATCTTTTACATGACCCCAATTAAAATTTGAGATGAAGGATCTATTGTCACAAACTTGTAAATTATTAAAAATTGTATCTGGATATTATCTTAGATTACCTTGGGTGGTGGACATGTTTCTCAGAATAAGTCCAGGGGGAAGTTCTCTCATACTAACACTCTCAGGAGAGTTTCCATTTAAAAAATTCTTCATATACTCAAAAACAAAAAATGATGTGATATGAAAAATATGTTTATTTATGTTGATATAATACTAGAAAATGTCATCGGTGATGTTCAAGTGGCATGGGTATCCCAACACAGGGATAAAGGTTCAAAACGTCCACATTTGGTGCTATCTCATGCTGGTCAAACAATATTTTGAGACAAGTTCATACATACATGATTTCTTCATCAGTATAAATGCATGCAATGGCAAATGGCTACATCTTTCTTAAGATAAATTTTTGTTCAAATGTTGAACTTTAAAAAAAAAGTTTGGCAATAACTGCTGTAAATGTGGAAATGTTACATACTGGATTAATTGACAACAAATATACAATTATTCATTAAGTATATACATTCCTTACTAAATGTCATTTATAAATTTACCTTTTTTATACTGTATATCTTAATTATTGGGCAATATTCCTGGCATACAGAATTAAACCCAATGTGTACGATTTTTGACATTCATTGTGAAATAACTGAAGTACATAAATTTCCACATTCACAGCATTAGTAACTTAAACAATCTGAATATGCATACCCTGAAATTTGTTCAAGAATAAACCTATTACTAGAAGAAATGAAAACCTAACAAAATACCACCTTCCCTTTCCATCTTAAAAGGTTAAAAAATGTATTACAGTGTCATCATTTTCAAATGTTCCATACAGACAAACACATAAACAAAGTAATGTCTCTTTTAAGAATTAAGAGCTCGGACAGGAAAGTACTTTTATCTATCCAGTTTTATTAAAAAATATATTTTTGATATAATTAACTCAATCTAGTAAACAAGATATCTGCATTATTTTTTTTATTTTCGATAAGTGTAATAAGTAACATTTTTTTCAACAACCCAGTATCAATTGGAACATATAGTATAATAATGACGTTGTAAATTACCGAATATTGACCCCCCCCCCCCCCCCCCAAAATGATTTACAACTAAAATTGTGAAAAAGTTGCAATTTGTGTATATATACGAGGGTTGTTCGAAAAGTTCGTGGACAACTGTCATATCTTTTTTATTTGACGTCATATGTTATCCAAATTTGGTAGAAATATTTTCACAATTAAACCAAATGATATGTAATAATTTTGACAACATATTACGATTGAATAAAAACTTATCCAGATTTTAAAAATACAGAAATCGGATCGCGGAGCAGGTCAAAATTTTGTCAGTTACAGACAATACAATAAAGAATGTCTATAGTCATATTCTCTGTAAAATGGAGGAAAAACGAAAAACTACCTAGAATTTCTAATTAAGGATTACTTGTTTTATGCTTTTATATTTTTCTTTGTTGAAAAGAAATCAACTTGACAAGATGTAGTCCTTATAAAACGACAAACACGATGACGTTTTACCGAAGCAATTTTGTGTTTTTCTCAAATAATCCTGAATAAACTCTCAAAATGTTGAAAGAATCAAGAAAATATGTCACAAGCGAGTTGTTCATGTGTGCACAAATAGTACAGGCAGTATTTGAGTGAGAGAGACTCTGTATTGGATGAGGATGACCTGTGAAGAAACAGTTTTACTGTAAACGTCTGAACAAAACTTAAAAATTTGAAACGTAAATGAAAGACAAAGGCGCTTGAGAGTTGCTTATTCTGTGAAAGCAGAGTTAAGTTCTAAAAGAAATTAAAACCTTAACAAAGGAAATTATACAATGAGATATATTCTGAAATTTAATGAATGGGCATTGGAATATTCTGTGTGAAATGTATAGGTATAGTATCTATTATAAATTCTCGACGCTTTATGTTGACGTATATATACAAAACATGTTGAGTTTAAAATGATAAATTTATTTGTGTCAAATCGAATGGAATGAAACTTTACACATCAACAAAACAAATATTTTTACATATTATAATGTGCTTGTTTTAAATTTCCATTGAGTGATATAACGAAGATGGACATCGTCCACGAACTTTTCGAACAACCCTCGTATATATGTGCATGTAAATGTGAATTATGGAAATGTCCCCACTAAAATGTTTTCTAGATGTCATCAAATCAACTTTCCTTCTTACTAGAAAAAATGAAAATCCTAAGAGAAAAAAAATCTGGTGTATCACATAAAAATCGTCCGAGTAGTTGTAAAAATTCAAACAGGTGGGTGATCTTACATGAGAATATGTAGAAAGAAACAATGGATATGTAATCTTTAGAACTCACTGAGCATAAAGGATACTGTTTTGTTCTTAGCAGGTATTCAGAATCTTCTTACGTGTCCCCCCCCCTCTCCATCACATTACTGTAAGCAGAGACCAAAGTACATTCCAAAACATATATTTAGACTTAGTAAAGTAAGGATACATGTCTGTAACAGTTCCAATCCAGTTAGAATTTTATAAGAATGTGAAGTTTTGTGACTAGCAATCAAATGCATGCACAACTGCTCTCAGTATACATGTGTACTCATGTATATCATGTACAAATCGTGTCCAGATTGAGGGAACTTCAAACAAAATGTAGGTTAACAATTAACTGGTCAGGGTATGACTGATAAAGGTCAATGTATAATATATACATCACTCAGCATGAATAAAAATATATATCAAGTCAATACATGTATTGCTATGAGGTATAAATAACTTAAAACAGCATGACCAAAATATTTACTGGTGATTGTGTGTAAAAAAAAAAAAAAACTTCAGAAAAAAAAATCTAATAAACAATATTGATGTCATCAACTTGTTAATTTGCATAAATCATAAGTTCAGAAATAATATTTATAGAGAATGAAGCCGCCGATTAACAGTGTTATTCCTATAGCCACTGGGGTTAAATAGGATCGTCTGTTTCTCCATAATTCACTTTTTCTTTGTTTTTCTCTCATTCTGTCTATTTGATTTTGCGTTTTCTGTCTGCGTTCCTCTCTCTGAATTCTCCTTCTGAAAGCACTGTTGAAAACAAAAAAGTCCAAATCAATATTCATATCATTTACAAGTAAGTGTAGACAAGTCGACTAAAAAGTAAGTGTAGACAAGTAAGTGTAGACAAGTCGACTAAAAAGTAAGTGTAGACAAGTCAACTAAAAAGTAAGTGTAGACAAGTCGACTAAAAAGTAAGTGTAGACAAGTAAACTTAAAACAATACCTGTAACTTGTTTTGAATTTTGTCTAAGACATTCTTTATAAATGGAAATTTCTGCCCCCATTTTATTTGCCCCTTTCACCCGACTCTCAGTTAAGAGAATTCAAAGAGCACAGTATAATGTCTGTCAGAACTGTTAATACTGAATGGATTTAATATGGAGCAAAATTGTTTGCAAGTGTGAAAGGACAAAAATGGAGAAAACATGGAGTAAAAAAAAACCCCTCTGTATTACAGTATAGTGTAAACCAACTTTTATTAGGGCTGCCACGGTTTAATTCGACATTTTTGGGGGTTAACTAGTTCGCAACAATACGCAAGTTTCGGATTTTTGGTGCGCTTTTCGTTGAGGTTTTCATTTTTGAGAGTTTAAATAAAACATCTTTATATATATCAAAGGATAATATAAGGATTAAAAGACATTGTTCAGAAATAACTATTTTGCTGACACAAATTTCTATCCATTTTATTCAACAAGACAAGTTGTTAAATGTAACAAAAAATAACAAAGTAATAAACTTCTTGTTTAAAATAAATATAAAATAAATATAGTTATTGACTAGAGTTATCTTGTTTCAAACAATTGAAACATTCAAAACGTGAAGTATTCCCACACTTGTGATTTGGTTTTCCTTCCACATGTGTATGCCATGTTTAAATGTCTTCGATGTTACATGTGTACCTGTGTTTTCATTGGTTAAAGAACCCTTCATTGAAATAAACAACAAATCACAACGCGTGTTGCAAGCAAATTAGTATTATATAAAAGATTAAAAAAACCGAACCGATTAATTTTTGCGAACAAGTCTTTTTGAATCTGTTGTTAACAGACACAGGGACTTTAAGGTCCGGTTCGCAGCGAAAAAATATTCACGATGACAAGGCTATTGCGAACCTCGGTTAACCGTGACAGCCCTACAGTATAAACATGTACAACTATCATACATATCATACCCATTTTCCTCTTCCTTCTTCTCGGGAATTAACTCTTCCGTGTCTTCAGTTAAAATTGGTTGATTTTCATAGTCCTCTTCCTCCTCTTCTTCTTTTTCCTCTGTTTTCTTCAGATCCTGACGAGGAGGGAGGGGTGGGGGATGTTTATCTACTGGCAAACTTGTGGTCCTTTCTGGGGGTGGGGGAGGGGTGTCTTCTTTTTTGCTGCTATGCTGAAAAATAAATACCAGTATACTTGAGTATATTCAACCATATAATGAATATGTTACCTTTTACAACTTGATAGAGAACAATATAGTGGTCATGGTAGATACATTTATACAACTTTTAATTATCAGAAAATGCAGTTTAACATACTTCTTTGGTCATGAGATACACTACTTTTGAATTTTAATGTGACATATTATTTATGGCAGTCAGCATTCATACATTGTTGTCAACTCAATTCACTGTACCCAAAATGGAAATTCACAAAAATATACAGAACAATCCATATATCAATATTTTTCGTTATGTCAACATCACAGCAATTTAATTCTGACCTTGACAGATTTTAGCAAAAGAAAAATGTAAACTTACATCAAGATAATCTGATAAAATAATGACACATGGAATGATTTTATTTATCGATGTTTAGGCCAAAAATTAATCTTTAGCGCCCGCCCCTCCAAAATGTCCCGCCCCGGAATTTTGATTTTTGGGTGTTATTAAAGGCATTTTCATGTATTTAATTTCAGTAAGAATTTGGGTGAATCGCAGCTGATCAAAGCTGTGTTGCTATTTATAGCAAAAGAGCCATGTGAAGATGACCTAAAATCATTTCCATATGTAGTAAACTTAGAGAAGGCAGAGAAAAAATAATAGCATCACATTGAGTTCATATCATTCATGAGCACGTTTTTAAAGATTTTGTATATACACCTGGTCAAGTTTAAAGTATATGTGTGTGAATGAAAAAAAATAGAACATAATTTGTGAAATGAATGTTTAATATCAAACCTGTAATCTCACAAAATTTATTGATATCAGAACCCCACCTCTTTGGTGTGTGCCGTAGAACTTGATAATTTGTTAAAATTTCAAGTCCTTATTTCTAAAGATATTGAAATCATTGTGAGCAATACCATGCATTACAAAGACAAATCTAAACTTCATTGGTGTTGACAAATAGAATGAGATATTATCTTTAATACCTAGTTATATGAAAACTTTTAAATATCATAAGGAGTTAATATATAAATATTGCATGTAGTTTATTTTACACGGTTTTTGCGTTTTACAAGCTATGATGTCGAAAATAAAAATTTCACCCCAAGAAAATCATTGTCAATTTATTCCCTGCAGGCGCTTTCTTGCTGGGTTGAAAATTTTCAGAGAGTTACATTAAGTATATTAATATTTATTATTGTTTTATGCAAATACATATTACAGTGGACCTTGCACGCATAAATTCTGCGCAGTCAACATTTTTTGGAATATCACCCATTGTTAAGCAATGTTGACTGTTTCTATGCTAGAGGGCATTGCTTCATTATTCAGCGGGTAATAGTGTTTTTTTAACAAATGTTTCTGGAAGAATCAGATTCAACCAATTTACATGAGAGTATAATATATATTTTTAAGATATGGTATTTGTCTTCATTCTCAAATTGTTCAATGAAACCAAATAATTATACAGTCATGTACTGAACCTTAAGTCAAATCAACCTGAATTTCATATGACAGTTAAGAAAACAAAGTAAACCACTTAAATATCAAATAACGGCTGGTTTACTTATGTTCACTCACAATAACAAGAGCCGAGTCTACGAGACAGAAGGTTCCTGATCGCCCGATGCCTGCACTACAGTGGATGATGGCTGGACCCACATCTGCCTCCAGGGCTCCGGACTGACGGACCGTCATCAGAAAATTCAGGAACACTAAAGGTGACTGGGGGACTCCGAAATCTGGCCAGTGGGTGTAATTATAATGTATAACCTCCCGAGATTCTCCACTCTGTAATTAAAATTACCAATTTTTCAACAGCTTTAAAATGAAACTTCTTCCCAGTAGATAATATTGTTATCCAAGAAGACTGCTGAAAATACTCTATACACAACTTATGCTTTGTATTTTTCTTCCAATGTAGTAATGCTGCACCAATTAAATTTTGGTATGAGCATTTTGTAAATACATGTAACCAAACTGAAAAGTACGACCAAACAAGCAAACATTTAACTACATGTACAGTGGACCTTCGGATATCCGGATGCTTCAGTATGCGGACAACTTTTCATCGGAACGGAATTTTTAAAATGTTATTTTGTCTTACTGTATACAGGGAAATTTTCGCCCCCATTTTATTTTCGCCCCTTTTGCCCTACTATCATTTGGGCGAATTTAAAACGGGGCAAATTCAAAGAATACAGTATAATTACTTAAACAAAACTATGACTGGGCGAATTTAAAATGGGACAAAATTGTTTGCAAGTGTGAAAGGGCGAAAATAACCCTGTATACAGTATTTAACTGGTTATTCAGGTATCCCGGCGCTTCACATATCCAGACAAATTAACTAGTAATCCAAAGCGTTCAGATAAACGAGGCTCCACTGTATTTGTAGATGATATATTTCAATTTGATAAATATTTTCACTGAGTTTCAAGGAGGCATAAACACACAAGACTCATCTTCATGTTTAAAGGCATAAAGCTGAGAGAAAAAAAAATTCCCATCCTAACCTCTGTATGCTTTAAAAGTAAGATTCTTTCTATATAATAGTCCAGCTGTCTTTCTCTGATGACGGAAACATTAAGTGACACATCTTCAAACTCCATTTCTTCTTCTTCATCCTCCTCATCAGTGGTGGGGTAGTATTTGTAACACTTCCTCTACAAAACATCAGACAAATAAATATACAGTAAAACTCGGTTATCACGAAGTCACTGGGACCTATGAAATTACTTCACTATATCCGTAATTCGTTACATCTATGTAAGAAATTCGTTAAAAGTATGTAGCTGGGGATCCAAGATAACTTCGCTATATCCGTGAATTCGCAATATCCGTGTTCGTACTAACCGAGTTTTACTGTATTACACAGAGAGGAAACTACGTGCCATTAAAGATTAGAGCAAAAGGAAAACTGAGAAAAAGAACTAATTAACATTTTTTCGGGATGGGGGTGGGAGGGGTGGGGGACAATCATTTAAAATTAAGTCATTAGAATTTTTGTACAATACATTTGTTCCCCATCTTATTAAGACTCATTATTAAGGATTTAGACTAAAATGAATTATCTATAAACAGTCCAATCGAGTTTCAACCCCCAGTTATGAAATACCGATGAATCATTACCATTGATATAAACACTAGTTCATTCCCAAACAAAAACAAACTATTCTTACCGCTCCATTCTCTATCAGTTTATTGAGCATGATAATGGCTTTACTTTCCTGTTCCCAGACCATTTGCCAGAAATGAGAAACGGTCACTTCTAAAGGGCCCTAGAAATAGAAATAAGGAACAAATATTACATGTACTATGGTGTTTAATACATACAAGCACAAAAAATATCAAAACCTTAAATCTCTTATTCTCTATTAATATCTAGCAGTTATAAAAATATCTTCCGCACTTTTTGAAAAAAGTTCAGTTAATCTGAATTTCACCCAGAAATCATGCTACTGGTATCCATCAGAATTTTTTCAGATCACAGAACTAACTTATGCAGCTATCATGAGATGAAAATTCAAGTAGCATGTATCTGTGTTGCATGAGTCCACTCAAATCTCTTCAGACCAGTGAGCTGCAGACCTAAATCTAGTCACATGTAGCATTCCAAATATGACTAATATAGTATGCTTGTCTAGCTGCAGCACCCCACAAATGACTATAGTTAAAACTTTTAAAAAAAACTTCAAGAAAATATACCTAGATAAATGTATATACAATCTTATGCATAACCCTGTTAACTTTTTTAATGTAAGAACTAAATTTTCTGTAAGAGATTTTAAAAAAAAGAGAAAAGAGGGGAAATGCATGTACAAAGACATGAGTGAGGTGGAAGAATCAGCGAGTGAATGTTTAATAAAAACCACAATGATTATATTTGAAAGTTGAAATGTGGAAAAAAAAAAAATGTACAAAGACAGGCATACAGTGGTGAGGTAGAATACCGTGTGGTACTTGTACCTCTATAGACAAGAGTCCAAAGTTGCATGTAAGATAATTGCCTAGTTTTTTGCAAGTTCATGTAAAAGTAATAATTACCTGTGTTAAAATATACTTTCTGTTTGCTTGTTTAACTTCCACGAGACTTGCATTGATGTACACATTGTTTGATAGTTTAACTCTGGCATGGTCATCTGAAATGGTCATTCAATAGACTTCAGTAAATAACTATTATAATTCTTACAATAACAAATTTTTTTTTTTGTTATTTTTTTTATGTCTGAAATTTCCTTTTTTGATTTATATGTGTAATTGAATCTTTCAAAATGATTAAATCTCATTGTTTTTCCAGGTTTTAAGATACCCGTGAAATCATGTGCATCACGAAAATTAAAATGTCATATAACATAAACTACTAAAAGAATTCTTCATCCATGAAATCAAATTCCCATGAACCCATACTTTTTTCTTGAACCACAAAAAAATTGACCCAACAAAGATACATGTATTTAAATTAACAGCCGCTTTAAAACAACACAGAACGTACATGGACTGACATCTCTGTATCTGTTCTTATTTCTGTTTGCTGCATTACGGGCCTCAGCTGTTGAGAACTCGTTTTCAATTGCCTGCATAGCTGCCTCATTTTTTAATTCCTGAAAAAATTCATATTTACATTTATAATAACAAAACATTTTTGGCAAAAATTTAAAGATAAACAACATATGTTAACATCACTATGGGTTTGACAGGAAATAATTTAACCTTCTATATTTGACTTACACATAATTTAACACATTAAATCTAATCAGGAAACAGAGTAAACTTTTCAGAAATATTTGTTTTTAGTTGAATATTTAAAACAATTCACACTAAAGCAATAACTTACAGAATGTTGTCTAGTGACAGCTTAAACATTTTGATTTTAATTAATGGGGTGAATCTGAAGTGCAGCAATAAAATATCAATGACAAAAATAAATTTTTAAATGAAATTTCAATACATACCAATTTTGTGAATACATGTATTTTGTTATTATGCAAACATTAAAAGATAGTATTTACAAATAAAAACACAAAAAGAAATTGTACTTGATAGCATTTTTGAGAGTTTAATTATAAAACTTCTTAGCCAGGGCCCTACTACATATATAGGGCTCTCAACTGTGGGCAAACTTTCAGTCATTTGCCCTGTAAGCAAATGAACTCAAACTTTGACTTCTTAGAATACCAAATTAATTTATCCACATTTAATAAGACATAAAGAACCTAATTTATCAGGGTAAATTTTAAGATAAAAGAGAGTGTGACCAGATACACTATTATCTATTTGGCAAATTCAGCTGCTGGAAAAAAATGTCACTTATTGATTCAATTGAATGAATGCTATACTTCTACATGAAATGTATTCCACTATCATTGTCAATTTAACCTATTCATATTTTAAAATTTTTTTGTTGGATCCTTTCATATTTTCTTAAAATGTTAAGACACAAATGTAAAGCACCTCTAAACACTATAGGAAGAAAGTTGTTATGACACACACAGGGGTGTGCAATTAGCATCGCCAGACGCCTGGGGCTACCACTTTTTGGGGTCGGGCTAGTGATTCTCTGCATGGAGGTAGCCCGCCAGGCTAGTAAAAATTATAACTACACACGCAATACCATGAAAAGCACAACCTGAATTTTCACTCGTTTTTGCTATCTAATTCCCAACCAGTGAAAACTTTTCTGACAACATGCTCCTACTCTCAATAAATCTCCATAATCTTATCTGTTCTGCAGCACTACTTGACTTATTTACTTCCCAAAACGATCGTTTTTTCCTAACCCGAATTTCCTCTATTCTTTTCTTTTATGGAAAATACATGCAGATATCTCATTAAATTATTTACGATCACTCAATCAACTGAAAGATAAGTGTTTTATGACTCAAATTAAATATATTTATAGTGTATTTAATGATTTAAGATGAAAACAAAATGAATAAAATTTCATTCTAAATGAGCTAGTGCAATGTTCAGAAAAAAGGGAAGATACTTTATTTACATTCATTTTAATCTTCTTTCATTATAATTTATACATAATTTAATTTCATAGTGAGAATTAAACTTTAATTTTAAAAAGAATGACTTCAGTACCCTGACTTTTTCAAATATCAATTTCTTTTCAATGTATAGTTTTTTATTTTAATTTTTGCCCCTATATTTGGGCTAGTAACTTTTCACTTGGGGCTAGTAACTTTATAGCTGCCACTAGCCCGTGGGCTAGTAATTGATTTTTCTAATTGCACACCCCTGACACAACTTTGCATTCATGTATCTTCATCATTATTTGTGTTATGCATGTATATATACATAAAATTATATACATTATGTGAGTGAATAAATATTCTTTTCTTTTCTAATAAGTAGGTATCAAAGTTGTACAATGTAGAGTGTATTTACCACGAAAGAAAACAGAATCACAAATTTGATTTCTGAATGGTAAAATCTTGAATATGCTAAGAGTTTCTAAATGCAACATGTCAGTCATGTTCCCAGCAGAAATCAAGTGTTCAACTTATTGTTTTATCTACAAACCAAATAAACTAGATGAAAACATATTTCTCTCAGAAATATTCACTTGCCCTTGCCTTTCAATTTCTTTTACCTCTAGTATTGAGAATTTATTTGCCCATTCAAGTCAATCAGGATGATCACTAATAAAATTTTGTCAATGACCTTCAAGTACTTCTCAATAATATAACGTTTTGGAACATCAATTGTTGGATATTGGCACTTAAAAATCGGAAAAGTCAAATTTTAAAGTTTGAATTAACAACTTAAAAAAATCATAGCACTAAAAGTTTTCATAGTGATATGGGCCTAATCGAAGTCTGTGCAACATGAATAAAATAACTGTTCATAACGTTTACATTTTCTCTTTTATAAAAAAGAGATTTTGTCTAATTTTTACAACCGGGATGGACTTAAAACCACATGCTTGAAATATTAGTAATATGCCAATGTAAACTACAAATAGTTCCATCCGGAAGTCTTGTTCTTGATTGTTTGACGATTAAATCCAAGTTATTGGCATTTTTACCTGATAAACTGGACCCCAGGCATTGTATTTGTCATAATTGATAAACTCGTTCTCAATTTCTGACCCCATAATGGTAAAAGTTGCCTCAAAAGTTCTCGGAAAGTTACAGGAAGTTCATACTTTGCGAATCCATTTTCATTTTAACCGGAAGAGGAGATTTATAACAGTCAAAGAACGTCCGGAAATCCTAAGTCCGGATTTTTTCATTACTTTAGAAGTGTTTTTTTTCTTCTTTTTTAAAGTATAGAAATGTTTTTTCATGACCACTGCTGTAAGAGTAAATGGGATTAAGTCCCCTTTTTAGTTTACAATAGTTTCAAGACTAACTTTTTTCCATAAGAAATTGAATAGGGGACTACACCAGCTATTTTAGTAGTTAGGCCCTATTCAAGATGAGAGACATATAAAAACCATTTTTATATGTCTCTGATAAAATTGATTGAAAATGAAAATTGATTTTTTTTTCTTACACTGCACCGGGATAAATTCCATTTGCTTTCAAATGTCAGACCCCCCCCCCCCAACACACACAACAAGCAAATCAGGGGTGGAACCATAAATTTAGTTGATAGTCTTTCTCTCTCTCTAAAAATTAACTATAAAAATGTGAAAACATAACTTGAGTCGATCAAGAGGTATCTTGAAACTATGAAAGGGGAGAGAGAGAGAGAGAGAGAGAGAGAGAGAGAGAGAGAGAGAGAGAGAGAGAGAGAGAGAGAGAGAGAGAGAGAGAGAGAGAGAGAGAGAGAGAGAGAGAGAGAGAGAGAGAGAGAGAGAGAGAGAGAGAGAGAGAGAGAGAGAGAGAGAGAGAGAGTGTGTGTGTGTGTGTGTGTGTGTGTCACTGCATCCCTTCAAGTGGTCCAGTCTTAATTATTTATACTAGTTTATAACATAACTATTTTTTTTTTAAATGTATAACAGCCATTTTTATTAAACACCATTTAATTTTTCTATAAATGTTTATAGCAAAGTTCTACAAAAATAAAGGAAAAAATATATTTAATCGGATTGCATGAAATCGAGAAATTACACAATATACTGTTTAAATAATTAAATAGCTGACTTATGACATAAGAGTGTTACGGTCACTGATATTTTTTCAACGGGATAATTAGAGCGTGAACACGCGCGTGCATGCCTGCCACGCGACGGGATATCAGGTGCCACTTTTGATCTCTGGAAGTGATCAATTAAAATGCAAAACAAACACTGTATAACCTAGGTGAACGATGTTCAGTCATTAGGACTTTCTATATATTGAACTGGTCACATTCCAGTGCAACCTTTTTGGGGATTTCACCATGTTGACCGAACTGACCCGTGTGGACCTGTCTTGCGACCAAGAGATGATGATGACTAGTTTTGAAGAACTTGGATCCTCCTCTTCGTCGCTGTCGTCTGATTCAGCATTTGCAGAACAACTTACGTCTCCCGTGGAATCGGTCAGTATTTTCAAAAAATAGAGAAAATGTGTAAAATAATCCCTAAAAGGTAATTCTTTAGGGATGAAAAGAAATTTTAAAAAGGGAATATATATACACGTAGGTCTTTAAATTATTTCTTATGCTACAGCATATCGTAAATTAGAAATATTGGAGAATTTTGTTCACAGTTTATAAAGTCTCACAATAAATGACAGAAAACGTGTTCATGAAATATTAATTAAAGCACTTTTTGAATAAATTATTTTGTCAAACGTTAAGTTCAGAATAAGAATTTGTAATTTGTACCTGCCATGTAAAGAAACGAACTATTCATCAAATAAGGGACAGCTGGGAGAACAAAAACCTATTATACATAGAAATTCTGCATAAAGTATATACAATGAATTCTCTCGCTAAACTGTTGACTGAGATGAAATATGGTTGACTTGCAGTGCGAAGACCAGATCTGCGAAGGATGTCACGAACTTATCTTAGACCGATATTTCCTACACGTCAATGGCGCCAGTTGGCACTCAAGTTGTCTCCGATGTTGTGTCTGCTGTCTTCAGCTGGACCAAGAGGAAAGCTGCTTCGTCAAAGATGACAATATTTACTGCAGACAAGACTACATCGGGTACGTATTATACTTAGCTTTTAGAAACATCTATCTACATGTATTCACATCCCCTCCCCCGAACATCTAGATCTATTCAACCCCCACTCCCAACGCACCCCGAAAAGATTAAAAAAATGCCTTTATATATATTTTCATGGTTTTATTATAATTTTTTTATTATTGCAGTGAATTTGGAACGAAGTGCTCTAAGTGTTTGAGGAGGATACAGTCTACAGATTGGGTCAGGCGAGCCCGGGATAACGTGTACCACCTTGCCTGTTTTGCTTGTGATACGTGCCAAAGACAACTTTCCACGGGAGAGGAATTCGCCCTGAATGGGGACCAAGTACTATGTCTACGACACTACACATCGCTCATCGAGGGAGGGACAGAACAAGGTATCTATTTCATTAATAAGGAACAGTCTCCATAAGGATGAGGCGGAGAAATGAGCCTTTTCTTAAAATGTTTCGTATCCCTTATTCAAAGAATTACTTCTTTATTACATCAGGGAAGTAATACATAATCTTGCACAACAGAGAGATTTACAAAAAACAAATAAAAACCGAACGACCATCGACGAAATCAATCTCTCACCAGAGGGCGCGCTTCGTGTTGGAGCGGAGGAGCGTAAACGCCCTCTGGTGAGAGATTGCGACGAAATGTTACATGTGACGGAGGGGTTCTGATGTTCTAACCATTTCGAGCCATAAATATTCAATAATTTTGATCATTTAAATATTAGTCATATATGAAGACATTGGTGTTTCCTTCTTCTGTATTGAATGTCATGTTTCTTAGACTGTCATGTTTCTTAGTGGAAAATTTGATTAAAATATCTTATTGTGACAAGAAAATGAAAAATTAATCTAAAAACCATTTGCTTTGCTTTGAAAATCCTCTCTTACTTGACATGGATTTTTTCAAGATTGTTTTAAATATAAAATTTAAACTGATAGATTTTTAACTTTTAATGTAACATAATCTATAAGTATTTTTAAATGAGTTTTAAAAAAGGTTTTTTTCCGAGAGTGATTCATTGTATGTTAACGTCAGGAAATACAATAACCCAAGAATAATCAAGATGTGAAACATGGATGTCATAATAATTTCAGATTCAGAACAGAGCAGCAAACCAAAGGCCAAAAGAGTGCGGTCGTCATTTACTGAAGAGCAACTCCAGATCCTTCAAGCAAACTTTAGGATCGAGAGCAACCCCGACAGCCAGGAGTTGAACAGGATTGCTCTTACGGCAGGAGTCAGTAGGCGTGTTGCACAAGTTTGGTTTCAGAACGCACGTGCCAGACAGAAGAAGCAACAGATATTCGTCAGCAACCAGAACAGTCGCATCAACTCAAAAAGTTATTGTAAGTAACATTGTCAGAGAGATTCATGTATTCAGATACTCAAATGCTAAAACTCATTGTTGGATACCCAAGGGTGATCGTCTTCTACTCGAAGGACAAGATCGTCGGTGGGTATCCGACGATAGCAAACACACGGTACTTACTGGGTAAATATTTGAAGTAATCTGAATTTATGTGAATATGTAAATTACAATTTAGTAATATAGATGTTATATTATTTCTTTCTTGCAGATTAATGTTTAATGAGTTCTGTATATACATGTTTCTTTTGATTTTTTTGTAGCCAATGGACAGTGGTCAAGTGGTTCCGAGGGCCAACTCAGCGATTCCACATCAGAGTGACGTTCCCATAACAGAGTTATACCGCTTTGACCCATCTGAGTGCATTTCCTGTGATCAACTTGTACAATGAACATACAGCACATATTTTGTGTTATTCTGTAGATCTATTTATCATGCATTATGCTTTTGTTATCTGTTGATTATTAAATTATTGATATTTATATATAATCATTTGTCTGTCATTGATGTTTTTAAAAGTTAAAATTACAATTGCAGCAGAATTAATTGATGTTGAAGAAACCATGTTGTTAAACCTTTGAAAATTTGTTCCATACAAGTATATACGGAAAAAAGTCTAACATTTCTAATGTTTTGCTGAGCGGGCATAAAAAAATGATGTTGGACAGCTTAGTGAGATGTTGGACCGCTTACGTCACAGAATGGGCGGAGCTTAATCTCATTTTCAAAAGTGACGGTCATGTTGTTACATCACGAAAGACAGTACAAAATACATGTATGTTAAAAAAATTAAAATGAATGGTATAACAAAACATTTATTGACTGTTCTCGGACAAAAAGCGTTTTGTCGACCCTCGAACCAAACTGTCTGCCTGAGGCCGGCCTCAGGCAGACAGTTTAGTTCTTGGCTCCTACAAAACGCATCTTGCCCTCGAATTCAGTCAACAAATGTATAATGTTTTGAACAAGAAAATAAAATTTGTCAAGTTATGCAACTTTAATTATGGCATTGAACAAATAATGTAATATAAAGTATCATATCCTTTGCGTAATTTTGTGTAGACAGTTCGAGACCATCCCCAATGACCCAACACAAATATATGTCTTGTACACATATTGGACTGGTTGGTTACCATGGGTTCGATACTTTCTGAAAACGACATTCCATTTTCCCGTGTTATTATCAAAGGTTCCAATTTGAAATACATGGGCGCCATATTTAACTGGAATATCGCTGTCTTGATCGGGTGATGTATAAACTCCTACAGCGTACTGGTTGTCATGTGTGGATAGAACTACCGGATGGTTGTCAGTTTTTTGTATCTCCATGGTAACGGTTTTGGGATTGAAATAGTAAATCTGATTGAAATCTCCAGCCATATACCCCGCTGGGGCTTCCATTTGAATGAATTTTAAATCAGCGGGCCAGTCTCCCCCGATTGTAAAATTGGATATGTATTCGATGCAATTATCGATCCCATGGGTACCAATGGTAACTTTTTTATGGAAGGGATATCTGTATGTCATTTGATGGTTCAATGCTGGTGAACCTCGCGTGCAGCCATGTATTGTCAATTGCTGGGTTTCGTGGTCTCCGGGACGCAACCAGAAAGCTGGGTGTACCTGAAATAAAAAAAATACATGCACAGCAAGCGCACTACAAAAGCGAAAAAGCACCTCGCAAAGAAAAAAAATCTGTAAGGGAGCTATCCCGATGCACAACAAGAGGCCCATGGGCCACATCGCTCACCTGAGAAGCTTTGACCATGCTGTTCTTTAGTAGATTTCCCCTTTGTAATACATATTGTGACCCCACCCTACCCCATTGGTCGATCATAATTTGGACAATTTGAAATCTACACTATCTCAGGAAGCTTCCACATAAGTTTCAGCTTTTCTGGCCCAGTGGTTCTTGAGAAGAAGATTTTTAAAGATTTTTTCAATATATTTCTATGTAAAAATTTGATTCCCCATTGTGGCCCTGCCCTATCCCTGGGGGGTCATGATTTGAACAATTTAGAATTTACACTACCCCAGAATGCTTCCACATAAGTTTCAGCTTTTCTGGCCCAGTGGTTCTTGAGAAGAAGATTTTTTAATGACCCCACCCTATTTTTGTCTTGTCTTGATTATCTCCCCTTGAGAGGGGACTTGGCCCTTCATTTTTACAATTTAAATTCCCCTTCACCCAAGGATGCTTTGTACCAAGCTTGGTCAAATTTGGCCTGGTGGTTCTTGAGAAGAAGTCGAAAATGTGAAAAGTTTACAGACGGACGGACGACGGACAAAATGTGATCAGAAAAGCTCACCTGAGCCTTCGGCTCAAGTGAGCTAAAAAGTTACTTCTGCTTTGCACAACCCCCACATAAAAGTGCGCTGCTATATATATATATATCATCCAACTGCTTTGCAAGGGGACCATAATGTCGAAATATACATTAATTGATTGATTGTACATTGTTTAACGTCCCTCTCGAGAAATTTCACTTATATGGAGACGCCACCACTTGCCGATGGAGAGCTACAGATTTTGTCCTATATTCGGCACTTAGGGCCATTGAGCAGTGAGGGATCTTTTTCGTGCCAGCATCTACAGCGACAGGACGTCGGTTTATACGGTCTCATCCGAACGACCGGTCTCCAGGTCCCGCAGTGGGATTCGAACCCGCGACGTAAGGATCAACTCCTTACTTCGCGACGCTAGAGCAGACGCTCTAACCACTGCGCCACGCGGGCGACAAATATATATTGAAGACAAAGACTAAAACTAAATGTGCATACCTCGGATTCTAGTATGTTACCATGCGCCCTAACCCATTGGATGGATGTTTTGGTATGTTCAGAATGAGAATCGTCTCGGCCACCCGCTTCAGTGGGATTGTAACATTCAGCATACGTATTGCTGTTGCAGGCCATTTGCAATTCTCGACCGTGGTCGAATGAATTCACCAGCTCTCGATTATTCCACGTTAAACTGTCGATAGCTCCTCCCATTCTAGCAGAGGCGCCAATATAAACTCCATGAGCAGAAATGGTCCAAGTTCCCCCATATCCCCCTTCTATGTAACCAACACGGTGTTCTGTACTGGTGTGGTTAATGTAATGATGGATTGCTTGACGATATTTTGTTCCAAATGCATTGGCTAGATCGATGTATCTGAAAAGACCAAGTCTCTGGGTTTTTGTTCAATCAAAATAGAAGTTACTTATCTGTTAGTTAGAGTACATTTTATGATTAACCGAATCTAGGAAGAAATTTAATCTAAATTTTAATGAAATTATTCTTTTTTGCTAAAATCCCTTCTACCCCCTTTTCAAGGAGAGATTTGTCCTCAGGGAATTCTTCTTACAACCTGTCAGTTACACATGTATTTATTTCCTTTATATCGTAAAGGTTTTCTACATCTGGAAATAGTTCGACTAAAACATATACATGTATTCTGAAACTCGTTAACCAACCAATTAAGATGAAAAATGAAATAATTTTTAATTAAAACCAACATTTAATCCCCTCATTCCATGGTGGAGACATTGAAAAAGATAAATAGTTTCAAAAGTATTCCTTACATGTATATATGAAAAAGTTACCTTCTCAAGTACTGTTTAACATGAAAACTCCCTATGGCCTGCCGCCCCTCGTCAATCCCCTTGGTGAGCCAATGGTTCCTTGCCTTCTCCAGAGTGTGGATGCCTAGACTGACCACGTCTGGGTTATGATTCAGGTAATAAAGGCCGTCAAACACCAGTGATGAGGCGTAGTCTGTAGGATCTGTGTACCCAGGGGAACACATTAGTCATTTAAAAAAAAGGGGAGAAAAGAAAAGTATCGTTCTTGTAAGAATGAATCGCTTTTATGCCCACATAATCGAAGATTCGGGGGTACATGTATATAGTTTTTACTTCATCCATCCGTCTGTCTGTTTGTCCACAAAACTTTAACCATGTTCATAATTGTGAATTAGTTGGAGTTGTGGCTTTAAAAAAATTCAAACTTTAACCTTGGTCATAACTTTTGAACTGTGGTATCGCTTTCATATTTCACATATGCATTGATTTTGACAAGATAAGATATCTCAAATGATTTAAATATTTTTTACCATGACCTTTGACCCCCTTTAAATAAACAAAGTTTTTTTAAAAAAGGCTTTTAAAATTAAAGTAAGCCATGACTAGTACTTATGCACACTTAGATCTAGGGACTTCATATTTCACAGACGTATTCCTTGGGACAAGACCTTTGGATGCTAACAATGTTTACATTTAACCTTGACCTTGGACTTTGATCCACTTAATGATAAAATCTTCCCTTGGGTACATATATCATTTCCCTTTGACTTTGATCATGACCTTGATGTTTGATCCACATTCAAAAAAAAATTTATCCTGGTCATAACTTTTGAATGGTTGGTGCTTGGGCTTTCATATTTCACAGGTACAATTATTCTTTCTTTGGGTAAAATCTATTGGCATTTGAATTTAACTTACATGTGAGAAAATTTAACTTTCACAAAAAGCTGCCATATGAGGGCACCAGTGTTCCAAAAACCATTTCATTAAATTTATAAGATTGATTTTAGACTTCCAAGTACATATGTTTTTATCATACTTTCATGTTAAATACTAAAATCTGATTGGTTTAGACGCAGTTAACAATCTGTTCTATTACCCTGAGCCTTAGCAACACACGTGGCAACGGGTAAGACGACGGTAATGCCATATGCGTGGAAATTATGCGCGTACGGTTCACCGTAGAATTCTCAAAACGTCAGCTGCGCGTTTGAAAGAACCGGAATAAACTTGACGTCAATAAAAGCTTGCGTCCGATATAGCTTACTTGAAAACATACAACAAACGACAGACGAAACATGCTTGCGAGTGCAGAAATAACGAAACATTAGCTGAGAAAGGACTCGTAGAGTATCAAATAAACAATAAAGAGGTCAGTAAATCTTTTTCGAAGTAGCGGGGAGTTTGAAAGCTTTCTAAACGTGAACGAAAAGGCGATCGACGATTTGTATTGCTGACATAGTAAATCAAGAAGAAATTCAGTATAATAAAATAAATGGTGCCTGTTTTGGAGGGTAACAGTTGAAATTGACACCCTTCGGAAAACCATTGTCAACCTCCGCTGACGCGTCGGTTGACAATGGTTTTCCTTGGGGTGTCAATTTCAACTGTTACCCTCCAAAACAGGCACCATTTATTATTATAATATTAACTTATTAAGAGAAAACATGCATATAGGAATTAAAGAAATATGAGTTGCTAGTGATGGGGAATCGGAAAAAAATCAGAATCGATTATCGGTAATAATCGGCTGGGCATAATCGATTAATAATCGATTATAATCAAAATTTTGAACTTTAATAAAATTAATATAGAAAAGTTGAAACTTATTCAGATTTCTGTCAGACTTTTACAAAAAAAAAACATTTACTTACATAAAATATTCAAAAATGTTAATTGAAATTTTTTTTATAAAAAGTGGAAAATAATATTTTGTTTACTTTAAACATTATAGGACTATATAAGACTATTGAAACAGAATGGGAATTTTTTTTATTTTTTTTATAAAGTCCATGCAATGGGTATTTTACTGATATTAGACGCATGTATATTTTTCTTAAAATTAGGTAATAAAATTGGTTTTCCTTGGGATGTTACGTTTAATTTCAACTGTTACCCTCCAAAACAGGCACCATTTATTATTATAATATTAACTTATTAAGAGAAAACATGCATATAGGAATTAAAGAAATATGAGTTGCATTTTTAATAATCTTATTTAGCCGTTAAAATGTGTTGTACCGTATAAGTGGGAATTTTAGCGAGACGCATATTTAGCGATTGTCCTTAAAAATTGGTATTTTATTTTTAGCGACATAAAACTTTAGCGATTAATTTTTAGCGATATTCAGTTTTAGCGATCTTGGCACCCTCACTTATAGTGCCAAAATTAAATTTTCGCTAAAAATTCTGCTTATAATATTTAATGTAATAAATATTTCTGTAATTTAAACATCAGTCTATGATCGGTTAGACTAAAACAAAGTACTAAACTGTTTCAGGAGAAATACTTTTGTACAATTAAATATGTATTATCATTAAGGAAATCAATATTGTACAGGACGACAACGGTGTAATTTTGCTTTAATCAAAGCCTTTTCTTACATTACAAATATGAACAACAACGGTTTATAAAAGGTTTCTCTGTCCTTGAAATACTTAATTATAATTTTGCAGCAAAAATTTCAAAAAATTCAAAGTTGCCGCTTTAAGTTGCTATTGCTTTAAGTTAAGGGGATTGATTTAATAAAAACATATGAGGCCCTTAAAATAGAATAATGATCATGCATATCGGTGATAACAAGCCTAGAAAATGTCATTGAAACATCAGGCAATAAAAAGAATATTTATGTTTAAGGATCGGTATTCGGTCGACGAGTACATGTTATACAGTTATTGACTGGGTATGAGGGAAACATATGATTTGTTGGACCTGAAGGTGAAAATGTTGCCCGAGGCCGCAGGCCAAGGGCAACATTTTCATCTTCAGGTCCAACAAATCATATGTTGCCCGAATCCCAGTCTATAACTGTTTTGTTATACCCTTCACTGCTCACTTAAGATTGATCAATTTTATCAATACACGCTTTACTATCAATTATTTTATATGGAAAATTATGGCTTCTTCAGTAAATATAAAACATCAAGCTGAGAAAGAACAAAATCAATTATAAGTCTATTATATCACAAAAATTATTTATCACAAAACATATTCTTCCCTTCTACCTTACCTTGCTGTTAGCAACAACTCTTTTAAAATAGCTCCTAACTTCGGCTATTTTCGCGTCGCCGATATTGAACGATGATTATTAATTGTGACGTAACAGACAGGTGACGTTGCGGTCTAACAATTCTTATGTAAGACCGGTCAATAGTGAAATTGTTAGACCGACGTAATAAACATTTCTTTTGTTGGACTTTTTATTAGTAAGAAATATATAGAAGGATATTTATAAGGGTATAACAATTAGTGTTATTGACTACGATTTCCCACTTTTTAGCTCACATGAGCCGAAGGCTTAAGTGAGCTTTTCTGGTTACATTTTGTCCGGCGTCCGTCCGTCTGTCTGTAAACTTTTCACATTTTCGACGTCTTCTCAAGAACCACTGAGCCAATTTCAACAAAACTTGCCACAAAGTATCCTTGGGTAAAGGGGATTCAAGTTTGTTCAAATAAAGTGCCACACCCTTAGGTGTGCTTAGGTGAGCGATGTGGCTCATGGGTCTCTTTTTTATGCCCCGGGTCGAAAGATTCCCGGGGTATATCGTTTCCGTCTTGTCTGTCTGTCTGTTGTCAACATTAACCTAGTCCATAAATATTGCGAGTCAAGGGTAAGTGTATATATGCGACTTCAGTCTACGTCGCATTCTATCGGGGGCATATCTTGTTTTTCTTGGAATCTGTACTCTAGGGGAAAGCCTTATTGTTATCGTTGAGTCTTGTCTCATCTTGTAACGTACACAAGCCGCAGCGCCAAATTAAGTTAATCATATGCATTTTCGGAATTTGAAAATGCATGGTATATATCTAGGGTTCGAAAAATTAATTAATCAAAAGAAATATTAGTGTCAAACGCTTGTCAGTAGCTCGATTAAAAAAAAAATTCGTCACGATGAATAACTAGCCTGTTCATCTGATCTCTATTGCGTTTTAAATGAAGTGAATTCATCAAAATTGCAAAAAAGGACAAAAGGTCAAGGAGAAAAACGGCCTTGTAATAATGTATTCTGCATTTTTTAAAAAGTGTCTCTTTTGATCAATAAAATGGGACAAACTGTCAAGAAAATGGTTGGAATATAATGAAAATGCAATATTTAATACAAAAAAAAATCTTAATAAAAAAGAACTTGTAGAAATTACTACAATTTTGACTGCACTATTAAGGAGTACCAGACACCTGTCAATAACGTGCAAGGAGCATTGACTGCAATTTACTTCATTATCTTGCTTTAATAGCGTCTATGTACATTAAAAAGGTAAAGGAGCGACATCCTACCTCAGCGTCTGAATTTGAAGGACACGTCAATATTCATGCTATTTTTTTTTAAATCGATGTCTACAATTTTCCAGACGAATGCAAGTAAGATTTACGATCGAAAATCTTCCTGTCGAGTACCTATTCGCACATGCGTTTTAAACATTCAACGAACCAAAGCGTAATTCTTTTACTTCATTCTTAGAGTGCAGTTGGATTATGGCCAAGACTTACTCAAAATAGAAATGGCAAAAACAACATGATATAGAGTACACGCTACATGTATTTATTACATTAAAGAGAATAGAACTCTATAATGGCGAAATCGTTGTTTTACTCTAAGAAACCCGATATAAGTGTCACATCAAAAGTAATATAGGAGGTGTCAAAAATTATGTTTCGGAGCAAAAAGTAAAATAGGGGGTGCCCAATGGCACTATATAAAGATTCAGAGAAAGTCTCATCAAATTTCATTCAGTGATACCACAGGCACCTGAAGTATGGATAATACGCCCCCCTTTTTTTGTTAATGAAAAAAAATGTAAGAGTGTATATCTCAAAAATATAAAATCTCCCCGTCAAACACATCTATATGTCGTTATATGCAAGCAGATTGTACTTTTTTCACGTTTAAAGAATGACCCTATTCGGTATAATAAAAATACACACTGTATTTTTATTATACCGAATAGGGTCATTCTTTAAACGTGAGAAAAAGTACAATCTGCTTGCATATAACGACATATAGATGTGTTTGACGGGGAGATTTTATATTTTTGAGATATACACTCTTACATTTTTTTTCATTAACAAAAAAAGGGGGGGCGTATTATCCATACTTCAGGTGCCTGTGGTGATACAAGAGGAGTTGCAGATGAGATGGGTACCCCAAAGCGTATCAGACGGACGGACGTACAGACGGATGAACTTCACTATATACCCTCCCATCTTTCAAACGGGGATATAAATATCGCAATTCTCAACCTTGTTACTATAACACATGTAAATATTTAGACACTTCCGCGAAGTATTTTCTGATAAAATAATCAAAAACAATCATGCATGATTTTTGATTAATTAAGTCACATTTTTGCAAAAAAGTAAAATACTAAATTAAGCTGTGTCCTTTGCAATGATTTTATGTATGTAATGTCCAAAAGCACATGTTATGGTTTTTAAAATCTCACCATTTGCTTGCGTAGATTCAATCACAAGAAAAAGAAAAACGAACCACATATTAGTACATGTAATTTGTCCAGTGTACTTGTGTACTCCAGTGTACTTTCGTTTGAGATAAGAGGCGATGTATTATGCAAACGTGATACAAGTGGTCAATTTTCTCAACCTTCCATTAAGATATTGAATAAGTTCGTAAAATCCAAAATCCAGAGTCCTCTCAAACCACTCCCCAATACAGAAATAAAAATAAATAGCCAATGCCACCTAAATATTAAAATGAAAAAATAGTGTGTCGATTAAGAATAAAATCAACAATATCTGCAACTCGTCACCATTGTAAATAGTCCAATAATAAAGACCGGAAGTGTCTAAAGTTTAAAAGATCAATTTTTTTTTTTTTTACACTTTTTGGATGATCAATTACTTTATCTAGAAATGTGCAAAAGATTTGACTACTTCTGGTCAAGATACTAGTAATATTATAGATCAAATATACATGTAGCATGTTTTGAATACAGCGTATTATTAACAAAAACAAAAATTAAAAATCATTATTAGTTTCCCAGCTTATTCGATAGTCAAAAGCATGCTTTTCGTACGAACAAATTCTAAAACAAGGCAAGCTATTGACAAACAAGTTGATGAAACAAGAATATAACCACTCTCGTTTAAGGTCATCATTTTTCACATTCTATGGTCGATACATTGATCTTATCAGCAAAAACTCAATCTTTTATTCAGTCGAATGGTGACTGATGTTTTTCAAACAAAATTTACAACGCCTGGAAATTTTTTTCTCTTCCCCGATCATGACAAAGTGTGGATGTGAGCGGTCGACAGGGAATGCTTACTCTTCTTTAGCATATGAACCCACCTTTGATGTTTTTAAAGGCCCGTGTTTCCTCTGCTCTTACTTTGTGTTGCTCTTCCCCGATCATGACAAGGTAGCACACAATGTACGGTGGGTGTGACCGGCCGGCAGGGGGTGCTTACTCTTCCATGGCACCTGATCCAAATTTTGATATTTTAATGCCCTCGATTTAAATTGTTTTCACAAACTTTAAGCTTTAATATTCGTTATCTACATATGTATCATTATGCTCATTGTCTTTTGGTGCAGTTTTGTTCCTCGAGAAAACCTACAAAAATGAATTCCAATAGAAATCGTTGTTTTGCATGGAAAGCCAAGGGGTTTGAGGAAACCCCTACATAGTTCTTATGACATGGTATATTTCTGCACTAAGATATTATGATATTTTTGCATAATTTATACACTGTAGTACATTGTACATATTCACAACATACCTGTGGATTTCTCACTTAAGAAATCAATATTGTGGTTTGTTTTCATCGATTCTTCATTGTTTTTGGACATTTTTCCTTGGACTAACTGCTAGACATCCCTTGTTAAATCTCAATATTTATACCTTAAATATTAGCTGCAGATCTGTAGCGTTGTGGTTTTACATAGTAGTCTTTGACCATTATGGTCATAGTAGTCTTTGACCATTATGGTCAAAGACTTCTATGTAAAACCATAACATAGTATCGTCTTTGACCATTATGGTCAAAGACTTCTATGTAAAACCATAACGCTACAGATCTGCTGCTATTAGAGAAGCTGCTCTAGAGTCGCCAAGTAAGGAGTCGATCCTTACGTCGCGGGTTCGAATCCCACTGTGAGACGTGGAGAGCGGTCCTTTGGATGAGACCGTTTAAATCGTGACCCCGTGTCGCAGTAAGTACTGGCACGAAAAAGTTCCCTCACTGCTCAATGGCCCTAAGTGCCGAGCATAAGACAAAATTTGTAGTTCTCCATCGGCAAGTGGTGGCATCTCCACATTAGTGGAAAATTCTTCGAGAGGGACGTTAACATACAATCATTCGTCTAAGATTGAGTTATCTCCCTTATCATTACTGTATACCGGTATTGAGTTCGAAACTATCAATTAGAAAATAGAATTTTAATGTGTGGTTTGTTTACTGCTGTGTTTCGCCTGCTTCTGACTGGACTGTAAGACAGTCATATGCTGGTTTGCATTTTTCTTGCCTAAAAAGCTCACTAAGTTTGCCTATTCCTTTGGTTCAGTCTCCAACTCCAGACAATCTTTCTGACTCCCTTCATCATCAGAAATTGAAAAAAGGAGAACCTGTTGTACATATACTAAATTTATTCAATAATTTAAAGTACATGAACATAAAACAGAAATATAAGTATCTTCTTAAATTCCATATCACTTTTGTGACACCCATCACTTAATATATTTAAAGTTCTCTTGGAACTATTACAGTAATAAAGTTGTGATTGGTCTCTGTATATATGTATATTATATATATAGTAACAATATAATGAGATACAAACAACATGGATTGGTCAGTATGACTGACAATCACCGTAAATATGTTTGCACTTCAACACACACTTATAGTTTCAAAACATGTACACTTTCTAAAATCATACTAAAACACAGGTTTTTGGTCACAGTTTTTACTCAATTTAATGGACGATTAGTGTGGAATATGACTTATGAGAGACATTTCATAGCTGATATTTTTTTTGGAAAGTATTTTAAAACCAAATCCAAAAATTATCCCACCCCCTCCCAAAAGCAGTTTTTAAAAGAATGCCAAAATATCATTAGCTAAAAAGACGAAAACTGGGCAATGGGGATTTTAAAAACAGTTTTTCACTTTGTGTCAGGAAGATATTTTCAAGCATTTATACCAGTTCTCGTTCATGCATATTTTAATAACTACCGTATATAGTGACATTAACACACCTGTGGAATCTAACGAGACTAACTTTAGTAACACATTTGATTTTTTTTGTTAATTCATACACAGTGGAACAAAAAATAAATGAGATCGCAGAAGATCAGTCTACAATAAAAGTATTTGCTGACACAGGCCAAAAGCGACGATTACACATTCACATCTCAACTCAACTCGGACGACAAAGGACCCGGACCACAATTAGCTTACATATAGACTTATATAGTAAAAACATGTGTTTTATTTTCTTTGTAACTTTTTTAAAAATCTTCATTTCCAAAATATCTTTGACCACATGATAGAGCAATGTGTCAGATAAATATTCACATCCAGAAATAGGGGTGTTGAATGTGGAATTCCCTGGTTATTAATAAACTTCTGACGTCATGACCTCGGGATAGCTCTCGCTTGGCAAAAAAAGTGTAAACAAACCAAATGAATGCTCTTTTCAATTCATATTTCTAGGCATAATTTTTGCTTGAAATGCACCTTGCTGCATATCATTGTAAACTTTAGACACTCTACTTTTATTCTATACCCCAAAAGTATCTAAAACATGTGAGCTATTTTTATTTTTATCATTGAAAGGGAGGCATATGAATTTCCTACATGTGCTACGTTTTAGCCATTTGACCTTCACCCTTTAATTGTGGCCCGGATCCTATATGGAGGCATAAAATTCATTAAAAAATTTTAAGGCCATATTTGAAATCCTTAGATACTACTTAACTAATATACCAAGTTTGATTGAAATTGGTTGATATCTACATGTAAAATTACATATTGTGTATACTAAGGCAATACAGGAAAGAAAATGGCAAAAAATGGCAAGTATGAAATTTTAAAATTGAAATATGTAAAAACTGTTAGACAATAAAAGGAACTAATTATTACAAGTAAGTTGTTGATACCTCTTAAACACACACACACTCTGAAATATGTAAAATACAAGATTTTTAGATTTCTAGGTAATTTGATGATCTGTACCCTGCATTTTCATAAAATTTTCTTAAATTAAGAAATATAAAATCTATCATGAAAATCTGAGAGTGACAATAGGGGTAAACATTTAAAGTACATTTATTCATAAATCAAATGATGTATCACACTACTGATAAAAGTGTACATAACATTCAAAATAAACAGATTTTTAAGCCCACCCCCATATCCTTTTTCCTGACTGTGAAGAGGGGCCATGTGCAGCTGATTGGCTAAGAGTCTTTGTATAGGTAATCTTAATACCCTATGGGAGTCTGTTTTGACAGGTGATTGTCAAAGGAATATATTGCAGTAAATACCACTAAAAAAGTGTCCAAATAAACATTGTCATAATTCAATCTTGCTTTCAAATCCACTCTTCACTACACATGAAAACAATGAAAGGTGACCGTAAAAGAAGAAAAAATCTTAATTTTGGATTTAAAAAAGGGAACACTCATTATATTAAGGCTCATCAGGCTACGTCAAATGCCGCAGGAGCTTCAAGTTCAGCGTCAAACATCCAGGGATCCCCAGAGACCGAGACAGCACATCCCCTTGCTGAAGGCCAGGAAAACATCTCAAGGACACCGATCCTTCGTCCCAGACCTGAGCCATGCCAGGAGCTAAAAAATGAAGAGACGTCTTATGAGTTTGAGGGAAACCGCATTGTTGACATAACATTGGTCTTGGAAATGTTTAATGATGCAGCCAAATGCCACTTTGACCAGGCCAAGCACTGTAATTTTCCAGTGTGGGAATACTCAGGACAGAGGAAATGGGGGTTTGGATGGCAGAAGAGACTACTATGTACGGTATGTAATTTTCAGACAAATTACTATAAATTATACACTGAAATTCCTACCTTTAACAAACCAGGCCCTAATCCTGCCAGTATCAACTGGAACTTTCAATTAGCCCTGCAGAACACCTCCATGGGGAATCGACGCAGTCGGGAAATGGTAGCTGCCTTGGACATTCCACCTCCTAACCGCAGTTCCATGCAAAGGGCCAGCAACCAGGTCAACACAGCCACTCTAGCCCTGAATAAAAAAGACATGGGTGAGAAGAGACAACTGGTTAAGGCCATCAACCAGGTCAAAGGTCAAGAACATCCAGAGGAACTGGACATTGCCATAGATGGACGCTACAACTCCATAACCTTCGGTAGCAGCAAAAAGCCAGGCTACAATGCATCACAAGCTTACGCCATTGCATGCGAGACCAACACCGACAAACAGTATATTATTGGCTCAGCAATGCAGAACAAACTTTGCTGGACTGGAACCTGGCTTCGAGGTAATGGTTATGATGTTCATTGTCCGGGGGGTCATGAAGACTGCACAGCTAATATTGAAATGTTCTCACCTCTTTCAGAGTACGAGATGGCTAAATCCATAGGCGAAGATCTGGCAGCGGACGGGTTCAAGGTGAAGCACGCCACAACAGACGGTGATGCCCGGTCAGCCCAGGGATTCCAAGATGCCATGCGAATTTTTCATCCAGACTGGCAAGTCACTCGACTGGCCGACCCAACCCATGTCAGCAGAGCCCAGTTCCGGCAGTGTCGCAGTGCCCACTTCAGCCCCGAGATGTTTCCCTGCAAAACAAGAACGAGGTTAGACGACATGAGAAAAGTTTTTGCACAAGATGTAAAGGCCCGGTGCAGCTTAGTCTATAAGAAACTCATGGATACCTACACTGGAGACATCAACATCATCTGTAGTAAACTTCCTCTTGTCGTAGAAAGTACCATCCTCTGCTACTCAGGAGACTGTTCAAAATGTCGAAGGAATTCAGTGGTGTGTGAAGGTGGAGACAGACACAACTGGTGGAATCAGTCTTATATCCTCGCCCCGAACAAACTGACATCCCTGCACCTGAATGAAAATGACAAGCACTTGTTAAAAGTCATTCTTGAGATGCGACTTAGCCAAAGTGCCATTGAGGAAATGAAACTCAACACGTCAACTCAGAAATGTGAGGGTCTTAACAGAGCAGTCAGCGAAGTTTTACCTAAGCACACCAACTATTCAAGAAATGCTGAAGGAATCCTCTCAGCTGAGATTTTAAGACAAAACAACAGTCCGGGACTAGCAACATCAATGAAAGCAGCAAAGATTACATTGCCACTGTCCGGCCACACACATCAGTACCTAAAAAGCATTGACCAGGAATATGCCTATCGCAGAGAATACAGAAAGAGAAAAGCAGTTAAAAGGCGAGAAATGCAGAGAAAAGCTACGCTAATAAAACAACATGCGGCGGCTAGAAAAGGAAAGACCAAACCCGGATGCACCTACAACAAAGGGCAACTTGATCCCAAACCCACCTACCTACAGTCCAAGGGAGACAATCCAGAGGATCACACCTACTACCAGACATGAGTTGCCAAGACGAAGACAAAACGGCCCTTCTCAGGGCCAACCAAATTATTCGAAAAGATACCTACTATACAAAGTCGTATAAGAAACGTGTAAAAATTAACACCAGGCCACAACCCAAAACTTCCACATAAATACATAAGACACATCATACACATACGCACACATGTACATACATACATCCATACATACATACTTACTTACTGACTTACTGATCAATATTTTTGTCAAAAACTACAAACTATACCCCCCCCCCCCCCCCCCCCCCCCCCCCCCCCCCCCCCCCCCCCCCCCATCTTCCTTGAAATGACAAACCCATCAACCCCCATTTCTATTTTAGTGAAAAGTACATATTTTTACACAACATAATTTCCACTTACCTGAAATTATAAACTCCAATACACAACCTCTGCCTGCATGTGCAATTATGAGTCGGGCAAAGCCTGAATCCCATTTCCACGTGCGGTTTCCTGCAAATAAATCCATGCACATGTTATTGTAAATATTGGCCCAATCACCACCTTCTTATTGCGCCTCATTTTGGGTGGGGGAAATCAATGGATAGCTTGTCTGTCATTTCCAATAAACACCTCGTCTTTCATCTATGACTTCAAAGGGACCCCTTATTAAGAATACACATGCAAATACACATTACAAAACAGTTTTTCTATTTTTAAAAAGGAACTATTTGACTGGTCAATGGATACACTAATGTGACCTCTTTCACCGACATATCAATTCCCCTGAAATATTGCATTCTGGGATGCATAATTAAAATTTTTTTTCAATCACTCAAAAAATTTTAATTTTTTATAAAAATTAATTTTAAAATGTTTAAATATTTTTTTTAAAATTTTATTAAACTATTTCAAAATGCATAACCCACCTCCTGTCAAAATTTCATTGTCATATCTTTAAAAATAAATTCAGGGGAAACCCTCAAACACCCCATCATAAGGACCCGGACCACAATTAGCTTACATATAGACTTATATAGTAAAAACATGTGTTTTATTTTCTTTGTAACTTTTTTAAAAATCTTCATTTCCAAAATATCTTTGACCACATGATAGAGCAATGTGTCAGATAAATATTCACATCCAGAAATAGGGGTGTTGAATGTGGAATTCCCTGGTTATTAATAAACTTCTGACGTCATGACCTCGGGATAGCTCTCGCTTGGCAAAAAAAGTGTAAACAAACCAAATGAATGCTCTTTTCAATTCATATTTCTAGGCATAATTTTTGCTTGAAATGCACCTTGCTGCATATCATTGTAAACTTTAGACACTCTACTTTTATTCTATACCCCAAAAGTATCTAAAACATGTGAGCTATTTTTATTTTTATCATTGAAAGGGAGGCATATGAATTTCCTACATGTGCTACGTTTTAGCCATTTGACCTTCACCCTTTAATTGTGGCCCGGATCCATTGGAAATCATGGCACCATATATATTTATATATATAAACGTGTTTGCTGTTCAGCAATCAAAAAAATATGCAGATGCGTGTGTACATACAAGCTTCTTTGTACAATTACATTTGGTATTTTTCACAAATTTTCAGCGTAACAAAAAATAATCTTGGCCTATACGCTTTCACAAAATACACTTTTTTTGCATACCTCAATTTGACTCCTCACCTTTAAACGTTCACCTTTAAACTTTCCCTCTGAAAGGCTCTGGGTTTCTGATTATATAAACTCATACATCACAGATCGTATATTGCAAAATGACAAGTTACCAATGCACTTTGTAAAGCTGTTATATAGAGATAACCGCCACTAGCTTCCTCACTTAGTGAGCAACAAAGCAAAAAATCCATTCATGACACAAAAATTTGGGACTCTCCCTTTTAGAGAGCTATAACTCAGAATCTTGTTTTCAGCATTTGTCCCTTTCTTACGATATATAGGATTTCTTTAAGGATACTCGATAACTCAACCTATCACCGGAAGTATAAAGACTCCAAAAATATACAGAAAAGCACGGTCATAAATCATATAGCCTTAAAATTCAACCTGCTTATAATTATTGTGGTAATAAAATAACCTGTATTAAAAGTTTTCTTGTTACTTTTATATTGATATCAAAATTTAATTATTTAAAAAATACCTTTTTTTGAGTTTGGGTGTTAAAATATAGGTAAGAGTAATGCAAGATTCTTGGAATTTGTTGGGGCAAAAAGTATACATGTATGTTGCTTATTGGTAGAAAGTATAGGAATATTCTAAGATTCACCATTCCCACATGTATAATTTGATGCTAGATCAACTAACGACTGAACCATTCAAACTTTAGCTTAACATAACACAGACATCACTTGTACAACATTTGTAATAAATATTTTGTTTACAACACACATTTTTCTAAAACGGGATCTATCCCAATTTTTTTAAATATATTTTTTTCTATATTTCATAAAACTTTTCTTAACTACATAAAATGAAATCGAACTCTATCTAGCAAAGCACTTTAAGTGCTGCTAGATGTAAAATTCTATTCTACATTTTTTTTCAAGATTCAAATCTACCAAGCTCGCTCTCTCTTTGACGACAAAACGTCCATTAGAGGATGACAATTTCATGCAATAAAAGTGAGACGATTGTCAAGATAAAATTTAATATATATCTATCTAAGCTAATCCTATCTCGACTTGTAATTCGACTATGTCCATTAAACACAATTTTCCGGGCTTTTCGCCGCGGATGATTTGTTGGATGTGGTTATTCCTAGCCTTGAATGGTTTATCCTCACTGTGGAGTACATTATCTGAGATTAAGTAATCTAACGCCACCAAACCGCCACCGGTATTGTTGCACTTAAGCTTCGCCTCCCGCGCTTGTTTGGCACTCTTCATGATATTTTCAAACAGCTGTTTCCGGAATGTCGCAACATCGTCAGTGTCCGGGCAATTGTCTATTTCCCGTATCATGTCGGCTTTTATTGAGCTAGCCGTCTCTTTGTTATTCTCTTTCCCCTCCTTTTCGCTGGTGACCGTGGCGCTTGGCGCCGCCTTGCTACGCTGATGTGGGTGACGCTGAGATGGTGGAGTCACGTGACCGCTGCTTTGTGACGGACGTGGAGACATTTGCTGAGATGAGGAATTGTTTGAGTACTGTCGTGTGTATTGGCGCTTCTTTGGTAATCTTTGAATGTGACTTGTGCTGTAGCTTCTCTCGCGGTAGTCGTCATCATTCGTTGTAGGGTGATACATTCCCTCCATGGAGATATCTTCTCCTGCCACTGTGGTCGGTGTATTTATGGCTCTGGTTTTGCAGTATAATTCACTACTCTTTTCCTGACTAGGGTACGGTATATTTCCGTTAGGAGCGTAACCTTGGTATTCAACGTTTAAAGTTGAGTAAGGATCATCGTACGAAGACAAGCTGTTCTCAGAAGTCGATCTAGCGATCCTTTGTTTGTACATCTCAATCTTTCGCCTTTTAGGATGGTAATAGTTAGCGTTTGCACATTCATCCATATATGTCCTTTTTCCTAGACCACCGTCATAAGGAATTCCATCGTGTCGTCCGTCGTAGGGACTTTCCATTACGCTGGAGTGTGGCATGTAATGTTCCGTCCCGGGGGGACTTTGTCGGTGTTTGGGGCTCTCCAGCGTGGTGATGTGCTTGAGGGGACAGGAGCAGTTAGGGTATTGACAAATAGGTTCCTCCACGTCCATATTGTATTCACTTCGTTTGTTTGAGTCACTGTTTTGGCTTAAATCAAGAGGTTGCTCCATGGTGTCGTTCTGTGAGGGTTGAATGCTTCGATCAAACTCTCCAATAAAACGGTTCTCTTAGCAATGTAACTGGAAAAGAAATCACAAGCAAAAATTAGGAATTATACGAGTCAAGCACAGTTAAATCGATAATGAAAAAAAAAATCTCCCCAACTTGAGATGCACGCTGATTCGTTATCTGTTGTAATATCATACTTCTATACTAATCAATATCTAAATTGTACAGGATCTGAATGAAATACATCGCTCAAAGTGTGAAGTATTAAAATAAAATCGTTTCCGAGATTATATTTCATTCTTGAAACACTACTTTTTTCAAAAACACTTAAAAAAAATTCATTGAGCTTCTTTTCGATTAAATAATATTACTAAGACGGCATTAAATTTACCTCTTAAAGCATACCATGGTTAAGGAAGTTTTTGTTAACAAATTCGATCTCAAAAAAACACTTATGAAATCCTGTTAAAATTTTCTTCAAAAACGATTCTTAAAAAAAAATTTCACTGCACTGCTCGTTGCGTAAAGTTAAACTGACAAGTCATTTAGTATGACGAAACTCATAAACACTGTCTTATATACGCAAAAAGTAGAAGAGCCAAGAGCTTATGCATCACGTAAACTTTTCACCTCATGTGACCGGTCGTAAGCATCAAGCCTTGTACATTCATAGGAAAACGTACTATTATGTACGAGGAGGCGGTCTTCGGTTTAACTGAGGACATCGACCGTTGGCAACCTTTTCTTTCGCTGCGTACACTTCAAACTTTTATATACATCGCATTCAAACGTATTGTCTTAAAGCAGCATGGGGGTCATCCAGCGATCAAACCGTTTATGAGGCTTGGTTGAAAAGAATTTTTCTGTCAAGTGAGTATATTGATTTCACAATCAATCACCGTTTTAACAGGTGTGAACATGAGACAACGACTTTTGAGAGAGAGAGAGAGAGAGAGAGAGAGAGAGAGAGAGAGAGAGAGAGCAAGTACATTCTATACACTGACCAGGTTCAACGTCATCATATTTTCAACGTAAAGACTTTAAGAGAATATAAGGAAAAACAAGATCATATTAAAAAACAATTATTAAAAAAAACCCTTAGTACCACATATATAAGGTTTTGAAAGCATGCTTATTTTGAATTTAACATCCAGGTTTCCTCTTAAACAAATACCGGGTATTGTCCATATAATTGTCTCTTTTTAATAGATAATGAGATTCAATGAAAACAACAATTTTTTTTTCTTTTGCCTGTCCGCCATTTCATTTTCCTATAGAATTACGTACTCGTTTTGAGGCAGACGGAAAAGATATATATTAATATTCATTAAATATATCGTATTTGGTAAAGTATATATTAAAGATATTTTCAATATTCGTAAACTATTGTATATCTTATAATCCTCTGTTATTTAATAAAATGATAGACTTGTTTCAAATGAATAAAAAAAGAAAGAAAGAAAGAAAGGGAAGAAAAAAAAGGAAAATAAAAAAATAAAAATATCAAAGGGTTACTCTTATTTCCGTTAGTATAGAAAGGTAACAATACAAAAACCAATCAAGTGGAATTTCTGAGAATTCATTGTAGCCCTTAGTCTAAAAATACCTGAGAATATAGACAAATATAGAACAAAGCAACGATAATTAACGGCTCTCAATCAACGCGTAGATTCGGTTCACGAAATCCTGACACTTAATGAATGGGTCACTTATCGGACAAGGGGCATGTATAATGTATGGTGTGCAGAAACATGTAGCTCTAAGAAAAATGGGCTATCTTGATTGATCTGAATTTACAATTAAAAGCAATTGTCTGAAATTCACGTTAATTCGCTCTTCGAGAATCAAAAGAACAGCGCCATTAGTCATTTGGAATTTTTTGATGCATATCCGCTAAACTTGCGCATGACCTGAGATGACCGATAGCTTGGCCTCTTTGTTTTGACTGTTTTTGAAACATACATTTCAATTTTTAAATATTTTCGATTAGACTATATTTATCATCACTTTTTAAAGATTGGAAATGAATCATTTTATAAAAAAAAAAAATACGCTGAAGAATATTTAAATTTTTCAAAGACTAACAAGAAGAAAATGTTGATACCGAGCTTACCCATAAGACACCGCTTCAGGAAATAGTAAACATATAGATAAGCATCCAGACCAAAAGAGGACCAACGAATGCTTGTCACGTAGACCTCTAATAGTTTTCACACAAATGTAAAACAAAAATAAAAATGTTTTAATATATACATTGACCCCAGTTTTTTCCACCCCGATGACCTGAAAACTCAATGCTGTCCAGTCGAGGTATTGATTTTCTATTGACTAAACAAGTAACCCCATATGAACCCGACCAAAAGTTTACTAGGTCATCTATATCTCTCTTCGTCGTGTTATACCGTAACACGAAAAAGGAACAAAAATCCGGTCACTAATTTCAGAAATCTAAACATGAGATAAGATTGTGCTTATAGAATATTTATTTATCATCATTATTATTAGAGAAAGAGGGGGGTATTTAAAAATTAAAAACAAAAATATTAAAGAGATAGCAACAAAATATTAAAGAGATAGCAACGTATGCAAATTCATCATGGGATTTTACGCCTCTTAAATATTGTTTAGTTACATAAAGTTCATCTCCATGGGTGATATTTTATTTTTCATAAGTTTAACACTGTTTATTAAATTTTTTACAAATAATTATGTAATGATAAACAGAAATTTAAATGTAAACTTTTAATTATAATTTATCGGGAAACATTTCTCACTGGAAAAAAAATATTTCTTCTTTTCTTTAACAATTACGTCTTCCTTTTGTGGTCTTTCTTCCCAGCAGCTTAGTCACTCCCGTTTTAAGATGTTTTCTACAAGTCATTAATTGGATAAACAGTATTGTATGATTGTTTGCAGGGGGTTCTTTGACCGGGCATATGAGGTAACCGAACGCCGTATACTCAGTGTCGGAAACAAGCATGACGTCACTGCACACCCATGCCCACCATTTGCAATCATGTTTTTGATTGGTGAAATTTGTTTTTCTTCAAATTCCTGTGGGCCCCTCCCTCCCCCCAAATTATGACACAGAAAACCCTTCAATGCCATCTAGATTTTGCTGACGCCTACATTATTTTCTTCACATTAGGAGTCTTTCCGGGTGCATGATTCAAACTGCACCTACGAAGAAGCCGTTTGTTTGTTTGTTGTCCCGATGTTTATTACTCCCATGGAGACGCTAACACTCGCCGTTGGAGGGCTGCAATTTCATACTCATACCAGGCACTCAGAGCAATGGAACAAAGATCGAGGAATCTTTTTTTTTCGTGCCAGCAGGCCCAGTACCTACTGTGACACGGGACCTCTGTTAATACGATCTCCTCCGAAAGTCCGGTCTCCACCCCCGCAGTGGAATTCAAACCCGCGACGTAAGGACTAATTCTTTACTCCGCAACTCTTATCGAGAGCAGATGTTCTAACCACTGTGCCACGGCTAGTGGCTAGTTGTCGCGCCTTCAATTTCTTTCAACGGCTGTTATTTTACATATTTATATCTAGACAGTAATTCAATTATATAAGCCGAGAGTCCGAGATTCTGAGGGGAGAAGACAAAAAAAGCCATGGGATTTGGATGACCTGAAGGTCACCAATAGTCTAGGGCAAAGCCCTTGTGGGGATACAGGGGATGGGGATCGTAGGCTCCCAGGTTTCTTTCCAGAAGTTTTGCCATACTTTTTGCATTAATCAAAAATCGGTATTATTAAAACAACAAAATTAATTTATTCATTTCCAGTACTTCTCATTCTTTTTACTGTAAAAAGAAGGATCTGACCCCCCCCCCCCTGATCCCGTTTTTAAAATTAAATTCACCATTGTATATTCATAGTTACAATATACAACTTTCCTCAAAGTTATACTTTTGTATATAAAATATTTTAAATATTCATTACTCAGAACATTTGTAGCCTGAATTTCTTTTAATGGCATTTGTTAATTACATTATTATTTTGTCTCGACGTGAGAGACGGTAGAAAAATTACATTCAAATCGATAACGAAGACGCAAATTTACCCTAGCTCCCGAGTATGACCGCTTGCTGAACCCCAGCTACACATACTTTTATTAGCAAATGAAAATTCGGGGTCAACGTCATCTGTATTTACAATTTAAACGTAAGCATGACGATGTGTTCCATTTATCGTTTTATCTGATTATTTGGTTAAAGCACCCACAAACATACCAGAAATCGTCTGGGTTTTTTTTTTTTTGGAAAATCCTGAATTGACCTTTTTATCACTCAAGTTCGTTCCTTATGATGGAGAGAGAACAAGAGAGAGAGAGAGGGGGAGAAAGTAGAGAAAAATAAAGAGAAGAGAGAAATATAACGAGAAGGGAAGAGAGATAGGGGAAAAGAGAGTGAGGAGAGATTGGAAGAAAGAAAGATAGATCGAGAGAAGGGAAGAGAGAATGAGAAAGGTAGTGAGAAAGAGAGATTAGAGGAGAGAAAGAGAGGGTGGGGGAAAAGGGAAGAGAGGAAGAGAAGAGAGAGGGGAAAAGGAATGAAAGAGATTGGAAGAAAGAGAGGAGGGAGAAGAAGAAAGAGGGGAAAAGGGAAGGAGGGAGAGGGCGGTAGAGAGAGAAAAGAAAGAGCAAGAGGGGGAGAGAAATAGGAGATAAAATAGGATAGGAATAGAGGAAAGGAAATTCTTCAGATCTTGGGATAACCAGTATCAGACACGAAGGTCAAGTTAAGGACACGGTCTTACCAATGTGTTTTTTTTTATGAATGACAGAATTTATTTGACATATAAAATAACTCTTCAATTCACAAAATTGAGATAAAGTTGATAATACTGCACCAATGAGTGTATTCTTTCTAAACAAAAACAGTTAAAACCTTTCATATATTAAAGTAGATATGATGAAGTTTTGGTTCATCCTACAAGGCAAAACAGTCAATTTATTTCTTGATATGTATACAAAATAATTTTACAACAAACATTAATTTACATATTTTTCTTGGATACACTTTATTTTGTTTGTTTGTTTTTTTTTTAAGACGCGATACAAAGGATGTTTCATGACCAGTAATGAGTACATTTTGTTAATTCTGAAATACATGTATAGTTTCAGAAGAACTGAATGGATTTATCAAACTTCCTTTAGATATTTCTTCTCATGAAAATGGTTGTATTTTTTTCTATTTACTGGACTGTAATCTGTCTATATTCAGAAAGATTTTTTGTTATTGAAAACACAGGATGTTTCATATAGACCAAATTATATATGGAGACATTTTGTTATAATTCTGAAATACATTGCTTATAACATTTTATAAAAATTTCTAACTCTCTATATATAAAAAATTAACAAGGGTTGATTTTAATATATAGATGAAAATGGTTTGTTTTTTTTCATATTTGTTGGTATGTAATCTGTCACAAATATTCAATGAAAGATTATTTATGTTAAAAAATTGAAAATATATATATATGTACACCAAATCATGCTATTTAATGACAAATACT